GAAAAGCCACAAAGAAACTGGTTTTAGAATTCGAAGAAGGCTCAGCAGGTAAAAACACTTGCCACCCAACAATGCAAGCCTGGAGGCCTGAGTTCAATCCCTGGAACCAGCATAAAAGTAGAAGGAGACAACCAAGTCTACAGAGTGGCTCACCAACTTCCACGGGTGTACAGTGGCACACACACACACATGCACGCACACACACGCATGCACACACACACACACACCAACATCATAATCATCACCACAATAACAACAGCAGTAACAACAATGTAATAATAATAATAATGGTTTTACTAAAACTCCAACTGATGTGAAAACCCTGGAATGTTTTGAGCTAAGGTAGGATATAACCTAACATGTCTTGAAAGAGTCTCTGTTATGTGGAGAATAGACTAAGAAGATTCATGAGGTGAGTTAGGAGCCCAGTGAAGGAAAAGGAGCTTCACATAGAGGGTGAGTGGACAGATGACTTTAATGTGAAGTTTACAGAATTTGCTGATGGCTCAGATGTTTGCTACAAGAAAGATACGGTAGTTCAGACTAGCTGAAACAGCTTTACCTGAAGAATTAAGAAAATGGCATCATCATTAACTATGCAAGAACATTATATTGTGCAATGAACAGATTTGAGATTGGAAGAAAAACTAAGGTTAGTTTTTTATCATGGTTACTTTGTGAAAAGACAAAAACCTTTCATTCCAATAGCCCCAGCAGTTCTCACTGATCCAGGGAGGACAACTGAGGTCCACATGTGAAGGCAGCTGTAAGCACAGAACCCCTTTCCCCCACAAAGCAGAAGAAATAAGGGAGAAAGCTGCTAGCTGGTGTGTCAGAGTGGAAGAATCTGGGGGAAGACAGAGGCTCGGGGCTTACTCACACTCTTACCCTGTGTGTTTTCACACAGTAACAAAGGCAGCTGTGTACACTTTAGGACTACCTCCAGATAAAGTGTCTGCTCCTCATGATATCACCACCCTCTTTTAGTAAAAGCACAACTCACCTTTTGTCCTTGGGCAAAGGTGAAAAAGCACAGTGTCGTACATAAGGAACTTCAAGGGCACCATGTTTATGGAAGTTCAAGACCAGGACCAGCTAACACAAGGCCAAAGACTTCAGCAAGAGCTAATGGTAACAGAGAGCCTCATATACCATGACCAGGAGTTTTCTTCATTTATAGCTTGGAAAGGCAACCAGTGATCTAGATGTAACATAGACAGGTCAGCTTTCCTTGATTGGCAGCACAAATCCACCCTTAATGGTCTTAATGATTGTCTTAACTGACTCTGGCTACTGTAACAAAATCTCAGAGACTGGGCAACTTAAACAGAATTCACCCACACTATATTCCTGGAGGCTGGTAGATCAAGGTCAAGGAGCTAGCAGCAGAAGAGTTAGTTCCTGATGAGACTCTCTTCCTTTGGGAATTATGAATTCTATCTATTAATCTGGTGGTAACACAAGTATTGAGGCCACACCTATGTTACTTAAGGCCAGCACACCAATTCTCAGCCCTTTCACATTACATGTGAAAAGGGAAATCATGCTGACAATTCTTGTATTTAGAGCCTGGCTCTTGCTATTTGTGGCACAAACTTGTGCTGGTTTACAACACTGAACCACAATTTATTCACTCCTAAGATTAGGATAATAATATCTGCACAGTTCTTGGAATTTTTGTAGGATCCAAATAAGCAAATGTACATAGAGCATATACTATAGACCATAAAGCATAACTCACATGAAGGTTACACTTCTTGAATATATCGTATCACTATAATATAATTGAAACTTTCATGGAACCCCATCAGTGGATATATTTGCATATGCATTTGTGTTTTCTGTGAGATTCTGGAAACATTCATCCAATACTATGCCCTTACAGCCTGTGGCATATAATGAACATTTTTCCCGCCAGCCTGGTCCTAGAGCCACGTCAGTCCCAAATGAACATGCAGGATGCTATATTAATTATGAAGCTGTTGGCCGTTTACTATGGCTGGCTAGCTCTGACTTAATTATTAACCCATAACTACTGAGTATTTCCACATGGTCTTCTCTTACTGGAAAAAGGGTCTGGACCTCTTATTTCTCTCGCATCCTACATGGAGACTGACTGTGCCTCCGTTTCCCAGAATCCTCCACCTCTCCTAGTCCCACCTATCTTGCTTCCCTATTGGCCAACAGTGCTTTATTCAGCAACCAATAAGACAAACATATATACAGAAGGACTTCCCCCATCAGTGGCATCTTATTTCCCATTGATGACCCAGGTGCTTGAATGAATGTTTATGGAATTGAGCCAATGTTAATCTTCATCAGCCCTTCTTGTTGCTAACTCTTACAACACACATATGAGAACATCACCTCTTGTGGATAATGCTGTCTTTAGTAGTGATGCAGGAAAGTACTCATATTCCTAGAGAAAGCCAAGTTCATGCAGTGGTTTGTTTGGCTTTCTTTCTGTTTAGAATTTTCTCTCCTTTCAAGACATATGCGGGCATCCTGCATGATTAAAGAAGATGTTAAAGGACGATTAACATCAAAACAAAATTAGCCCCATTAAGATGAACAAAGAGCCCACAGAGCAGCGGGGCAGCACTAAGCACCTGGAATGGGTTAGTTACTGCATTTAAGGCAATTAGTGTGGAAGGCATCCGTATTTTTCTTTGTTTTATTTCTTCCTTAGTGAGCAGTAGTTTTCAGAGAAAGGGGACCATTGTTCCCACTCATATGCCAGCATGTTAGATTTGTATTTGTTCTAAGTGTGCATCTCACTTGTCTCCACATTCTTCAGCAACTGTGTAGCCAGTGTTTGGGGAGCATCCTGGGCTCTGAAGGTGTCATCACTTTTAGTCGCAAGCCGCACTCATTCTTGAGGCAATCGTGCCTTAAACGCATGGTACATTAATTGTTACAGCATTGTGCAATTCCCTTGGAAAAGCATATTACAGCCTCATTAAAACCACATTACTTTATCATGATTCACAGGGAGTAGACTAGGAAATGAATTATTGAGTAACTTCTTATTAACACAAAAGAAGTCTGTCACGCTAAATTATATAGTGTAGTTTAAGACATCAATTACAGGCTTCGGAAGCCGTGTATACAAAGATATTCTTCAACCCAAATGCCTCTACTCCCCGACACCGCTCATTGCCTTCTCAAACGTCAGTATTTGCAAAAAGATGGGCTGCCTAGGCAGGCTCACACAAATTATTTACGCAGAAATGAGGCTTAGCAGCACAGGTTGTCATAAGAGATAAATAATGTGTGTAGGACCTGGGATGTTTCTATGGCAGGGAGGTTCCAGACGACTTCACATTTCCAAATATAAAATCTCTTAAAAGAAGTGAGCACCCACCAGCTCAGCAGACTCGTGTAATTGGCTCAGTGCTGTGGGCACTGAGCTCACTGCCACACCACAGGGACGGAGGCCCCAAAGGGTTAAAGAATTTGCGTAGGTTGGGGCACAGTTGGGATTCAGTGCCACCTCCCTCTGTCTTGTTATATGCATCAGAATACGGCTTTCGTACAACAAGGCTTCCTTTATCCACCAAACCTGGAAGGAGGAGTACAAAAGATGACACAGAGCCTCAGACATGGCTGCATTGTTAAAATGCATTGTTTTTCTACCTCAGTAAACAAGATCGCCACAGAGTTCAGCTCAGCGCCAGAGCCCTTGTCTGGCATGCACAAGACTCTGGGTTTGGTCTCTCATCCCCTCATACAAAGATTTTTTCAGTAAATACACCTTACCATAAAAAGGACATTGCACAATGATAAACTCAGCCTTTCGTGGCTATACACCATGTCCAAGAACTATCCCATCTGTTAGTGCAGCTTAGAAACGGAAAAAACAGAAGAATTAATAGATTGAAAAGGACACATGAGTAAGCCCACGGTCCTAGGATGGGAGGACAAGGCTCTGAAAGGATGCCCAGCAACTGAATACGCGGGCAGAGAAAATTATTATAATGAGGGGCTGGAAAAATAACTCTGCCCTTAAAGGCTAAGGCTCACAGCCAAAACGTCAAGAGTTCAGTCCCCGGCAGCCATATTAAGCCCGTCTCCTCAGCTTCCCCTTTCTCCTCTACAACAGCTCATGTGCGCACACTCATCGGTTCAAGGAAAGGAAACTACATCTAAAGTGAGGAGGCGGCAGTTACAGCACTTGTTGCAGAGAACCAGGTTTCAGGTCCCACATGTTGGCTCACAATGATCTGTAGCTACAATTCCAGGGGACCCAAAGCCACCTTCCCACCTCCACAGGACACACAGGCAAAACGCTCACAGGTATAAAATAAAGTAAATCCTTAAAAATGAACAAGCCAAAGATTTTTAATTATTCTCTTTGGAGAATGGAGATGTTGATGTCGGGTCTCTTAAAGATCACGGTGGAAGTAACGTTGGATAATCTGCTTCGTCTGCCTCATGAAATTCCTCTCACTGCCTCCCTGTGATAGCTGTTACTTCCCCCATTGTAAAGATGACAAAACTGAACAACACATGTTCACATAACTGCTCAGGTCACAGTCAGGACCTGAACCTGAGTTGATCTGGCTTTGCAGCACCCATCTTTGGCCGCTTAACAGTGGCCCTCTGTCAAGGCCATACCCTAGGTTTCCTGCTCTTTGCCTCAAAGGGAAGGTTGTGGTGGAGAAGAACTAAGCCGCCTCTGGTGGTGACCACCTTGGCTCAGGTCCTGAGCCAGAGCAGAAGGAAAGAGAGAGAGGGAGAGGCAGAGAGGTAGGGAGAGGGGAAGAGAAAGAAGGGGAGGGAGAGGAAAGGGAGAGGGGAAGAGGAGATGGAAGAGGAGGAGGAGGAAGAGGAGGTGAAGGAGGAGGAGGCTTCCTTTTATAAGGGGATAAAGCGCATGCGCAGCGTGAAAGCGCTCTACTTAGTGGCTTCAGCGTGTACAGTGGGTCACAATGTCACATCTTGGCGGCTGCTGCTGATACGTCCTGCGAGGTCCCTGAGAGCAGGCCGGTATAAATGCCTGAATGCTTACACCTTTACCTTCATTAGCGATGTCAGGAAGCCAGCGTGGCTAGCTGGGCCAGACTGCAGGAAAGAGGCTATGAAGTTCTTCTGTTTACTGACAGAGAAACGTGTCCTAGAGAGGCGATGAAGTGGAGAAGCGGGTAACACTCCCCCAGAGATGAGGTCATGGAATTACAATGTTGAGAGAGGGTTCCCAGGGGCCCCTCAAAAGTGAGCAGTGGCAATTTCTGTTGAAAGATTTTGAGAGGCTTCCATTTTCTTCAGCTTTTCTAAATTTCCTCACTGGTAAGTGACTAGAGCCCTATCCTAAAAACACTCTGCTTGTGATGGGGTCGGGGCATGGGCGGGGCAGAGGCAGGGCAAAGCTAAAAGATGGACAGCAGGATTTCTGATTGCCTGTAGGTACTGCCTGGTGTTCTGGTGGGTCGCCCTGTCTTATAGAGAGGTCCATAAAGATGACCAAGTAATGGGAGCATCATGTCCGGGGGAAGGAAAGAACATTATCTGTTCAGAGAAGGACGACTATCTCTGGCCTCAGCACCAACAGTGCAGGAAGACAGCAGCATCTCCCTTCCAACAGTGGGACAACTGCATGTCCTGTAATGTAAGTTCCTTCCTCACCAGAAACAAAGGCCCTCCAAAATCTGCCCATACCCCTAGGGCTCATGGGAAAAAAAGCTGCCTGGGCCCCAAGTCTCAGTGCTACCCCAAAATTCACTGCCTTGCTCCTCTGGAGGCTGGCACCCCTGTCGTGTTCCTTTGTGTCAGAGAGTGTGGGTCTAGGGAAGTCTTCATTCTTCTAACCTCAGGTGAGCCTGAGTGCGCCTTGCTGAGGAGAGCTCTTGACACATGAAGCAGTCCAAGGCTGACATCTTCTGCTGCCATGGAGACGAGCTAAGAGACACTGTTCTATCTTCAAGCAGAGTTCAAAGGAACTAGGACTCACACTGCATTGAAAAATAAAATTATTTCATACTTTTAATCTCTCCAGAGGGCCGACAGTCTCAAGGTATGACGTGGCCTTGGGGTAACCAGAACAAAGCTTGGACAAGATGATAAGATCTGTGTATTTAAAACCCAGAAATAGCAAACTGGCACCTAGAAAACTCTCAGTTAGAAGAATGGTTAAGATCCCTAAGGTGTAGTTCCATAGAAACCAATGACAACCTTTCTATACGTCTGTCAAGAGAAAGAGGCCATTGTGGCAAGGATGTTAGGTATGCCTTTTGTCTAATGAGGCAGGCTACATGGGATGGATGATAAGCTAATACATTTTTTAGTGAGATAGATTATGGTATGAACTAAAGCAGATGGAAAGGGTTCAGAATGAAAGAGGTCTCTCTGCTTCTGAGTGAGCAAGCGTAAACACTGTCAAAGCATGGACACTGAAGGCCCTCCCATGATCCCTGGAGAGTACATTTCCTTCAGTCAGGTAGTCTGATGTTGTGTTCCCCTCACCCTGGTCCTGGCCCAGGGTTCTAGGACCACCTCCGCTTGCACTGATTGTGTTTCCCTGACGGGTTATGGTCCTCCTTGGGTGACAGTCCTCCTTGGGTGACGACAGTCCTCCTTGGGTGGCAACAGTCCTCCTTGGGTGACGACAGTCCTCCTTGGGTGACGACAGTCCTCCTTGGGTGACGACAGTCCTCCTTGGGTGACGACAGTCCTCCTTGGGTGTCTATTTGGCACCAGTCTCCCACCAACAGGTTTTCAAGTTTTCCGAGAAATTTTCAAATGTGTGTCCTCCCTACCACACTCACAGGAGCCATGCTGGTGAAAAATTAGACATAAGCAAAGGAAGGAAGAAGCACACAGCCAAAAGCCAAGCGGAAGTGGCTGCATGACCTCATGACCTCTTCCAAGCCAGAGTGGGAGAAGGCCTCGTAGTCAACAATTCGCTTCCAAACATAAAACAAATAATCTTACCCATGTTGTTCCTAGGACGATTGCAGTGACAAGTCCTAAATTATCCTACAGAGAAGTAAGGTTGCTAACTTTGCACCAGAATCTTGAGATGTGTACCAAGACCTGGCTTGGCCAGGGCCTTTTCTTTACCCCTTCAGATCCTGCAGGAGAGAGTATTAACTGAGATGTGCCTATCACTTAATGAAATAAGAAGTTCCCTACTTCACACAGATGTTAGCTGGTAGTGAACATGGTGATGGGCATTCAGCTCCAGATAATCTCTCCGTGACCAGATTAATGGAGGCCCTGCCATCTGCAACATGTGGCTTTCAGGGTCTTGTCACCAGACTAGCAGCAGGGGAAGGGAAGAAATGAAGGGCTCAGCCTGGATTGGGTCCGCACCACTTCCCCGTGCCTCATGCCAGTCAGGGTGCAGTCATATGCCACTCATTGCTGCCAGGAAGGCTGGGGGAGACGGTCTAGATAAAAGGGGTAGATGGGGTAGGGAGAGCGTTTGGGACAATGTCTGAGTGGCAGTCCAGTGGGTCTCAATGCTACATGTTATATTGCCACTAGGACTCTTTAAAACCTCTTACTTAGAACCTCAACATATAAGCAGAGTGTTTGCTTTTAAGTACAGGCTCTGGAATAAGACAAAATTAGGCTCATCTCTGTCTTTTGCTGCTAGGTGTCCACCCTTCCCCCCACCCCAGTTTAGGTGATCCTGAACACAATGATTAATAGTGTGTCTGGAAGCCAATGAGACCTGGGTTAACTAGCCAGAGGATGATTCTGCTATTTGATTGCTGTGGGATCTTGATTTATATTTTGCCTTTCATTAAACCTTTTTCTAAGATGGAGACTCTATTCCATGTATCATCTGGTTGTTGGAAAAATCAAATGAACTGTAGTATATAACTTGATTACTCCCTGCCTGGCACATTTCAGAATAGTCAATAAATAATAGTGTATTTGTTAACATCTTAAAGATTTTGGTTTCTGGTCTTCTCGGAAGGAAAGCTGAAGGCTGAGGTCAGATCTACACAAACACACCATTACAATGAAATACCTGACCTCTGCTAGTTTAAAAAATAAAGGCATAGCTGTCAGGATTCATGGGCAAGCAGAACTGTTGGTGACAATTCTTCTCTAGAGCCATGAAAACAGACCACCAAAGACCAAGTGAGCTTCTCTCTCTGTCCCAGCCTTATTTCTCCATGTTCCACAACCAAAGAAGGTGGTACCTTCAGACAGGTCTGGCTGTCTGTTCTGAATTGCAGCCACAGTAATGGTAATCATGTTTATGGTCTGTGGGGCCTTGAGGACTAACCTAGCCAGCAGCTCACAGAGAGGTAGTTAAACCCCCTGATTCTGCTATTTTTATTCAGTTATCTTATGGCTTCTGGGGGTGCCCTGCTCCACTGTGCAGGATTCCTTCCTTTAAATTCCTTAACTACTGTCTTTAATGCTTTTTCAGATGACTTTACAGTCTGTAGGATACCAAACAGCATTAGATTACAAAAACACCTTTTTACAGAAGGTGGACATAGTCTCTGAAGACCTGCTGCTGTCTACACCAAGCAAGTACCAGTTGGTCTTGGATTGCTAAATGGACACCAAAAAAGAAATGTTCTACCATTTGTATCAGTTGTGTGGTGATTTGAATGTAATTGGCCCCCATAAGTTCATAGGGAGTATCTCTATTAGGAGATGCAGCCTTGTTGGAGTAGGTATGGTCTTGTTGGAGGAAATGTGTCACTATGGAGGCAGGCTTTAAGGTCCCATATATGCTGAAGTCATGCCTAGTGAATTGGTCCACTTCCTGTTGCCTTCTGATCAAGATGTAACCAGCACCATGTCTGCCTGCATGTTGTCTCCCTGCTGCCATGCTCTCGGACATGATGATAATGGACTAAACCTCTGAACTGTAAGCAGCCACCTCAATTAAATGTTTTCCTTTATAAGAGTTGCCATGGTCGTGGTGTCTCTTCACAGCAATAGAAACCCTAACTAAGACAGGTTGTATCTTCAAAACAGCAATGCTGGGCATAGTGGCATGGATGGAAGACAATACCCCATCTAGAACTCTATAATACATTCTTTCTATGAGATATCTTGCTTCCTTATCTTGGGGTGCTACAGGGTCATTGTGTATCTGCCTTCTACTTATGGTCGTAAAGGAGCCACCTGGTGCTGCTTATTCAGTCGGATTAAGACCCAAGTGGGAACAAGGCTGTGATCTAGGCATCCGTGCTTGCTTCTGGAGCCAATTCTCCAGTTCTAACTGGCTCCCCATCAGAATCCTTGTCCTTACCTTTTCATCAGCCACATTTGGTTCCTGAATCAGTCCCAGCCTGAAAGAAGAGTCTCTCAGTATACTTTCTTTTAGGGGAGAAATATATACAGTGTACTCTGCAGAAATAGCTTCTCACCCAAGGTGTGGTTATTTGAATAGGAATGTCCCCCCACAGGCTCATATGTTTAAATACATGCTCATTAGGGAGTGGTGTTAACTGAGAGAAAATAAGGAGTGTGGCCTTGTTGGAGGAAGTGTGTCACTAGGAGTGGGCTTTAGGGTTTCAAGAGCCCAAGCCCTGCCAAGTGGCTCTCTCTCTTCTTGCTGCCTGTGGATCCAGATGTAGAACCCTCAACTGCCAAGCCTGCCTGAGTGCGGCCACACTCCCTGCCATGAGGGTAATGTTCTGAAAATCTGAAACTGTAAGCCAATTCTGATTAAATGCTTTCCTTTGTAAGAGTTGCCACGGCCATGGTGTCTCTTCACAGCAATACAACACTAAGACACTAGGTCAAATTTAATCCTTTTCATCTGTTCTGTCACTTTGTGTTTGTGATGAACTGTTGCTCTGACTTTAAAGCCTCCTAGCAGCTCACTAGCAGGGCATTTATTCAGCTTCCTATTAATGCCCACTTCCCTCAGTAACGCCTGTCCTTTCTCAAGTCCCTGATATTCACTGCATAGTGAAAACAAAGTGATCCTAAGGACTTGTGTGGGCTGGTCCATCAGGATCACTTGCCTCAGTTTACATGACCTTTGTTTCAGGGAGGGATGGGTTTCTCTATCTCACAACACTCACACTGATGCCACCATTAACATAAGTTAAAATAAGTTAACATAAGTTTTATGCTATAGCATTGTTAAGGCTCATGTGTGCATGCTGAATCATGGAGTTTTCTCCCCTTCCTCTCTATTAAAGGCCAGACTGGAAGGACATATCTTCTACCGCTTCTAACTCACTTTCTTCCTCTTCATTATCTAAATCTTCCCGCGGGTTCCAGGTTTTTGAACCCCAGGAAGGCTCTTCAGCATGTAGCTAATCTGCTCTTTCCCTTCCATTTCATCAGCTGTAAGACACTACAATCCACCAATACCATGTCGTCTTCCCTTTTCTCCACCTTTCCCTCTAAATCAGAGATAATAGACAGGGCAGTGTTCTCATGCCTCTTCTCCTCTGCAAGTCTTCCCCAACACAGGCAAACTCATTCTGAACAGATCGCTCCGCCTCAGCTATGTCTTCTGCACGCAGAAGATGCCACCACGTGCTTATGATTTTGCCTCACACGTATTAGTTGCAGTGTATTCTTTCCTCAGCTCCTTTGAGGGCATCTCACTCATCAAGGACATATCTCACCTTGTGCCTCATGGAGGAATTCCCTGTGAGGGTGCTTCACTCTCAGAATATTGGCCTTCTTTTGTGTCCTGGAACCCTCCTTAGGGAGTATAAACTACCCCTTCACCAAAGAGCCTCTCCATCACTTACTACATAGGGAAAGGTAGCCATTTAGGCATTCCCTGAAATGCTCCAAACTCACATGGTACAGCTTCAACTGCCAGTCTTACCACCATCACAAGGGTCATAGACTTGTTCCTGTCCACATTCTCTGTGGCTCTGTCAGCCTTCTTTAAGCACTGCTTATGTCGTATGACTTTTCCTGGGTAGATGTCAATAAATACCCGTTCACTCAGACATGCATTGATGGCAGAGTGAGAAGTGACTCTACCAAAGTCCAGTGCTGTGGAATA